TGTAGACTTAGTACCTATTAGATAAAGACTGGTAGCTATGGATTTAGTACCCGATGAATAGACTATAGCAGCTATGGAATTAGTGCTTTATGAACGAACATCGGCAGCTATGGATTTAGTGCCAGTCCTATAACTCTGGAAGTAAGGGACTTCAGAATAAACGAGTGCAGGATAGATGACTCTTAGGTTAAATTCTTAAGAGTAAAGAAGATAACGGGGATGGTAATAGGGTTAATTGTTTGATGATTAAACATAACAATTATATTATTGTGGGTTGAAAACCCTATGTACTCACTAGGTTTCCCAACCTGACCCACTCAGTTTATGTATATCATAGGTGATGAAGTGAAGTGACATTACACTGAGAGATTTAAGGAGATGTAGATCACTAGAGTAAATCATTGTAAGTTCTGTTTATGCTTATGTTTCGGTATTAACGATGACATCCTAAACGTTTTAAAATGAAATAAATACGTTTCTTCGAAAATGTTTTAATAACGTATTTACCATGTTTTTCTGGGAACGAATTCCGCAACCTTTTTATAAAATGAAGTACTCTGATTTTTATAAAGCATAAACAAAATCGGTCTTCTCTGGCCGTGATTTTGGGGATGTCACATGTTGTGATGCTACGGGGAGCCGTAGTACTCACTGGTCAGAAGCTTTTGGTGATGTTGAGGAGCCGTAATATTTTAGGCGGCAAGAGAGTGTGATGATGAAGTGTTCTCCGATCTGAGTATGATGCATAGGAGTTTTAGGCTTGAGTAGCCTAGTATCGAGTTGTTGGAGCTTGGTGGTTAGGTGAGGGGCGAGACGGGGGTCTCCTTCTCTCTCGGGAATTATTATATTTTGAGTTGAGTTGAGCTGTGTTTGTTGCAGCATGATGAAATTGGGAAAATGGTATTCGCGCGGGGCATAGGGTGAGTCATGAGACCAAAGTTTTATTGGGACACGAGGTTTCAACTTTGGGTCGGACCCAAACTCTCGAGTTGAGTTTGGCTTTGATAAGTGGGAGGATATCGAGATGAGATTCTAGACTTCTAAGGTAAATTCTCGGATAGGAGGTACTGTTATCGTCATCTGTATAGGTCAGTACTCGGGAGCAAGAGATATCGCAAGATGCACAGGAGATGTGCGCAACTAACATCTGAGGTCGGGGTTGAGTTGATCTTCGGTTGGGTTGCAGTCCTTGTATGAGTTAATGAGAATTTCGTAACTGGTGTGCCATTAGGCTGAGATAGTTGATGCGAGGAGGAATTCGGTGAGACATTTTGGATCATGATTATGGGTAACCGTGGAGGTTTATTTTTAGGCTAAGGTCAGACCTTGTGTGGTGTTAAAAGAGATATGGAATTTAGAGCGAAGGCTTATGAGTGAGATGTTGAGGACACTTTTGAGCAAGCATGGTTATGCTTCTGTGTCTGAGGGTAGAGTGTTAGAATTTTTGGTTCGGATGGTTTCTGATAGCAGTTTTAGAAGATGTGCCCCGATGGAGTGTGAACCCTTTTATTCGCAGGGGTGGGGTTCGTCAGTTATGGCATAATCATTTTGGTGGAGAGATAGTCGGTTGTTGGATATGGTCGTATGAGAATCGGAAAACCAGTGAGAAAGCAGGGTTGTTATTCGAGGAGCAATTATCATGGTGATCACTCGAGTAGGCGGTCTGGAGGCGGTTTAGGTCACTAGAGTTTCCGGTTATTGGGAAGGCGTATTTCTAGCGGCGAAAGTGTTGGTTTAGACTTTGTTTTAGAGGTTTCATGTAATTTTGGATGTCTCTAGAGAAAGATATCCGGGGGTATGAGAATCATTTTGGTGGTGCCTTTCGGGTCAATGATTTAAGTTTTGGGTGGTTCAGGAGTGATTTCGGGGATGAAATCTAATTCAAGTGGGGGAGAATTGTAACATCCGGATATCCAGGTATGGGAATTTGAGTAATTTATATTTGGGGAATGAGGAGACTCGGCGAGTTGACGCCTCAACTCGTCAAGTAGGATCGCGTTTTGGGGACCAGTTTAATGAAGGGACTCGACAAGTAGGGTATTTGGACTCGCCGAGTCAGCGCTGTCAAGGAAAACCCTAATTGTCCGGGTTTGGGACCTATTTAAAGGCCCTTATGGCCTTCAGTGGCGACCACCTACACCTTAGAGAGACCCCTATCGAACCAGAGAGCTAAGAGAGTGAAGAAGAGCCATTTTGGAGCATTCTTGAGGTGGTTGTGCAATGGAGTAGTCATTTCCAGCAAAGGGAGGTCAGGGGGTGTCGATTCTGAGCTTCTAAGCTTGCATCTTCACCATAGAGGTATCAAATCATTCTCCCTTTTCTGTTTTGGGTAAGATTGGTGATTTTAGGGTTTTCTAGCTTCTTTTATGGCTTGATTTGTGGAGTATAGTGTCCCATTGAGTGTGAAGCCATATATCTGGACCCAAAGAGGTCCAGAGAGTCCCTTCCATCGTGCTTTATGCATTCTATTTGAAGGTTTGAGCTACGGTTGTTATGTAATGGAGGGTTTCACCCAAATAAGCTTGTAGAACCTTGCATGAGTGCCCAAGGTTCGACCTTTTCATGGTTATTGGCTTAGATCTATGGTTTGGTGAAGCAGATCTGACCACAGAAGGTCAGATGAGGGTTGTCATGGGAGCAACTCGCCGAGTCCATAGGCAGACTCGACGAGTCGAGTCGGGGTTGCCCCGCAATTCGTTGCCGAGTAACTCGATGAGTGGAGAGGGAACTCGTTGTGTCTAAGAGGTTTAAAAAGGATTTAGGGAAACCACATGGACTCGTCGAGTCACTCTTGTGTACTCGCCGAGTCTGGTCAGTGTTGACCGTTGATTTGAGTTGTCTTATGTTGACTTTGAGAGTTTTGGTCAACAGAGGTAATAGAGGTCAGGGAGGGGTAAAATGGTCTTTTACCCATTACCTGACTAGAGAAGGAAAGAGTAATCGCCGGTTAATTAGAGTTGGGAATTCGAGTATTAATTAGAGGTATTTGCCTTATGTGTTAGGCGGTGGCGAGTCCGAGGTTCGCATGTGCAGATAATTGCTTTCGGATTGCCAGGTGAGTCTTCTCACTATACTTTACCTTGAGTAGGTAACCAGAGTTATGTGATAGAGTATTTGTATGTTGTGTATGTTATGTGTTGTATTGCATTATTTCTATGTGATTTATGTTGTGCATGTTTACAGAGTTAGAACCGGAAGGTTCCCAGAGTTAGAACCTGAGGGTTCACAGAGTTTGGGTGCACGGACCCACAGAGTTATAGCCTCGAGTGGCTAATATGTGTTATATGTGGTATTTTGGGGAACTCACTAAGCTTCATGCTTACAGTGTTTTGTGTTATGTGTTCCAGGTTTCTTTCAGGATCACGGAACGGCACCGGCTTGATTCTACACACCAGCGAAAGAGTCATATTTTGAGGATCCTAGCTTATTATGCAAGTGAAAACAGAGTTATGTTTTATAATTTGATTATGAATGAGATATTAAGAAAAGTGTTTTTAAGAATTAAACCATTATTTTTAAATGAAAAATTATTTTGAAAATTTACGGTGTTACATATAATATAATTCATTGAGAAAAAATATAATGCCTATTTTTTAATTCGTTTAAATGAAAAAGTAAAATGAAAACTTTTAAAAATAAAAGTTTATTTCCCCTAATTATAATGTTTGGGTTTAACTTCGCAACCAAAGTTTGTTGGTTTTTATCAAATATATACGTTAATTCGTACCATTTTATTTTAACTTTTTATACAATAATACTTAAAAGTTGATCTATATTTGTTAATTATCTATAATAAAGTTATAAATTATTGAAAAACATTTTTGAGTTTTTAAAAAAAAATCAATTAATTAAATTTTAGTTTATTCCAGCATCATGCAGATGTTAAAAAAAAAACAAACAGTCTTCTATATTTAAATTATAGACGTTTGGTTCACCTCTTTTACTGCAAAGGTCAGCAAATTAGCAAACTGCAGATATTTTACCTCAATAAAAACACACTCATGTTTCTTCGAGAATCTAAGATCCAATATGGAGGTAGAGGATTATAAATTGACTATTGAGTCAAGTAGTCAACACTACATACTTTTCTACAAAAATACACGTCACCTGCACTTGCCATGCAATTTCCTATAGTAATAAAATTAAATAGACTTAAAGACTACTAAAATACCTATTAATATAATTACTACACTTTTGATTAATTCTTAGAAAATATCTATTGTAATGTGCATTAAGTATAAATGTACAAAACAATTTTAGTAGATAATTACTTTTTTATATCTGTGTTTTTCTTTATGGTTATTTTGTTTTGACGTGTGTTTGATTTGTTATATGAAAATGATATAAAGACGCTTTTTATATAGTCAATATAGTAGGTTTAATGGTTGCAAAGTCTTTTATTCAATCTTTATATTAAAAAACCCCGAAATTTCACTCAAAATTTTAAACTAAAGGTAGGCATTTGGATAGAGCCCATTGAACCGGACTTGATATATTAAGCAGGCGGACCGAAACCTCATCGAGCTTGTCCGTGTTTGACTGGCGGTTCACAAAAACTATTGTAGGACGCACCCGACTGGTCTCAACCACCTTGTTTTTTTTGTAAATAAATAAACAAGTTAATCAAACTAAGAAAAGTTCATTTCATAGTTGATTCCACCTGTTTCTTTTGGATTTATATGACAAATTGAGGACTAAAAGTTATAGTGGATCGGAAAAGATACTTGTAATAATTACAAATTGCCAAGAAGGCAAGGCTCATAAGTCTTCGAACGTCTGATTTGGAGAAATTTATATAATTATATTATATTAATTTTCATCTTTAATTTTTCTTGTCTTAGAGTTTAGATTAAATTCCATGGAAATCAATTATTGTAAATAAGCCACCAATTTGAGACCATCCACTTTAATATTTCATCTTTACAATTGACACTATATAAAGCTTCATAGGGGCATCTTGGTAGATACATTAACACAAACAAAAATCACTTTGCATTTACATGATGCATCCTTGTCTTTTTATAATTTTCTTATTTCTCTTGCTACTCCTTGAGGCTACCACTGCCAACCAATTGGTGTCAGTGGGAGAAGAAGGAAGAGATGTTAACAAGTTCTTTGATGTGGAGAGACGTGCTCTCCTTGATTTCAAATCTCACCTTCAAGATCCCAATGGCAGTCTTTCTACATGGACAGCTGAAGATGATGATGACTGTTGTACATGGAGAGGAGTCATGTGTAACGACCAAGGTCATGTCACACAGCTTGATATTAGCAGCAATAATCTTAATGGAACCATTCACAGGTCCATTGGTTCCTTGACCCAATTAAGGTACCTTAGACTTTCTTACAACTCTTTTTATGGAACCATTCCTCAAGAGTTTGGAAACCTCACCAACTTGCAAGGGCTTTCCCTTGGATACGTTGGAAGATGTAGAGTTGAAAACATACAGTGGTTGTCTCATCTCTCTCATCTGGAGGATCTGAGAATGGATGGGATTTCCCTTGCCAAACAAAATTATTGGGTAGATGTGATTTCAAGTCTCCGAAACCTATCATTTTTAAGTTTAGATGGATGTGAGCTGTCACAGGTCATGTATCCATATTCTTCTTCATTTCTCAACTCTTCTTCTTCATCTATTGAAACCCTTTATCTTGGAAACAACAATCTCACCTCATCCATGTATCATTGGTTGTTCCCATTAACCAGCAATAAGCTTCGTGATCTTGATCTCTCTGGCAACACGTTAGATGGGATACCCAAAAATCCTGGAAACCTATGTACATTGACCTCTTTAAAGCTGGATAACAACCCAATGCTTATCAATCTTCCTGATTTTCTCTACAACTTGTCTCGATGCACATCACCTAGATTAACATACTTGTATGCTTCTGATAGCGAATTTACAGGGTCATTGTCTGATGACATCCAAAAAATTTCATCCCTAAGATATTTGTACCTATCAGGTAATCACATAAATGGAACCATAAGCGAGAAATTGTGGGAACTACCTGAGCTTACCACATTTGACCTTTCTCAAAATTCTCTTAGTGGTGCCATTTCTGAAAAGATTGGAAACTCGGGCGCTATTATTATAAAACTATCAAAAAACCCACTCCAAGGAGTTCCTTCCATAGATCACATGTCAAACCTTTCTTATGTAGAGTCTCTTGATCTGAACTCTTGCAAGCTAGGACCTAGCTTCCCCAAATGGATTCAAAAACTCAAAAAGCTTACATATCTTGACATTTCCAATAATGGAATTTCAGACACCATTCCTCTGGATTTTTGGGACATGTGGCCTTCTCAATTAAGATTTCTGAATCTCTCATCCAACAACATCAGCGGGGAAGTACCAGATTTATCATTAAATTTTGACAACCATTCAGTGATAGATTTGAGCTCCAACAGCTTTAACGGTCCAATAAAAAATGTCTCTTCCGCTGTGGCATTATTAAATCTTTCCAGAAACAAATTCTCTGGAGGAATCTCCTTCTTATGCCAATTTGTCGATGGCTTTTTAGAATTCCTTGACCTCTCCCATAACTCTCTAACCGGACAACTTCCAGACTGTTTGTGGCATTTCAAAGAACTCAAAGTTCTTAATCTAGGAAACAACAATCTATCTGGAAGGCTTCCTGCCTCTATTGAATCATTGTTCAAACTTGAGGCATTGTATCTATACAAGAACGGTTTTTACGGAGAATTGCCTTTGTCTTTAAAGAATTGCACGAGCTTAAACTCGTTGAATTTGGGGGCAAACAAGTTTTCTGGTAATGTGCCTGTTTGGCTTGGGGAAAACTTGTCAAGGTTGTATGCTCTTATCCTATCATCTAACAACTTCTTCGGAACCATCCCTTTACAGTTATGTCAATTACCAAATCTTCAAATTTTGGACTTGTCAAGTAACAGTCTCTATGGAACCATGCCCTCATGTTTAAATAATCTCACGAGCATGGTTCAACAAGGATTTTTACCTCCGCCAAACGTACATCCCTTTACAACTCAATGGTATCATTCAAGAAGTGCGCATCCAGATATCATTTATGAGTACTACGTTGACCATGCAATGATCGAGTGGCAAGGAGATGAGCGTGAATTCTTTAGGAATTTGGGATTGTTGAAGAGCATTGACCTATCAAGCAACAACTTAACAGGACATATCCCATACGAAATTACCAATCTTTTTGAATTGATTGCACTAAACTTATCAAAGAACGCTCTAGTTGGAGAGATTCCTAGGAACATTGGTCAGATGAAAAAACTCATAGCTTTGGATATATCTAGAAACAATTTAACAGGAGGGATACCATCAAGCATGACTCAAATGACTTTTTTGGGTTACCTAGATGTGTCATATAATAACTTGTCAGGGAGAATCATATCTAGCACTCAACTCCAGTCGTTTGCACCTTCAAGATACGATGGAAATGCGGGACTATGTGGGCTTCCCCTCTCCAAAAAATGTCTTGGAGATGAAGAACCCATCATTGGAAAAAGTGAAGATGATGGGGAAGATGAATTTTGGGGATGGTTCTATATTGGCGGGGGTACTGGTTTTGCTACTGGATTTTGGATAGCAATTGGGGCTTTACTTTTCAATCGTCGAGGGAGACATGCTTTTTTTCACTTTTATGATAGCTTCAAAGATTGGGTTTATGTGAAGGTGGTGGTGTTCATTTTAAAATTGCAAAGGGAAAAATATACATAATCATGTATTACTTGTATTTGGTAGGGTTTTAATTAAGTCCCCTATTATCAGTTAAATTGCCACCAACACCATCTGTGGCCATTTTCTGACATTATGAAAAGTTTATATAGATTTGTAGTTAATAGTGTATCTTAATTTTGTAACCAACATTATGAAAAGTTTATATGCATCTAATGGTTTAATTTTTTTTTTACATAGATATATGTATTTTTTCCCCCTGAAATTGTTTTTTTTACATAGAATGCCCCCAACGTTTTCAAATTTTAGATCCGCCCTTGATGGTTTAATTTTTTTTTTACATAGATATATGTATTTTGGTCCCTGTACGTCTTACGTAAAAAGACTATTGTGCCCTTATTAATTTATTTTTTTATTTAATTTTCATATTTACGTATTTATTTTTTTATATATTTTAAAAAAGTTAATAGACCCCACATATCTGTATCTCCTCACCAAAAACCTCAAACCACATTTGAGAAATTTATTTTGGATGGCCCCTACTGTTTATTTTTATTGCGTGTTTGGTCCGTGTTTTACCTAAAAAGACTATTGTGCCCTTATTAATTTATTTTTTAATTAATTTTTTTATTAATGTATCTATTTTTTATATATTTAAAAAAAAATAATAGAACCCACATATCTATATCTGTTCACCGTAAACCTGAAACCACATTTGAGAAATTTAATTTGGTCTTATCGGTCACCATCTCATCTCTCATACTCCTCAACTTCTATTTCTTTTCCATTTTTAGTGTACGACGTCTTCACCATCATTCTTTTTGTGGTACTTCAACTCTGGCGAACCAACACCATAGTCTATCGTCTCTTTATCTTTAGTGGGTTGTGGGTTGATTCGACGGAGTTGGATTTGAATGACCGAAAAAAGAATGGATGGTGAAGACATCGATATCACTAAAAATGGAAAATAAATAGAAGTTGAAGAGGATGAGAGATGGGATGGTGATGAGATACATATATCTTTTGCCATATGGTTTTGGATAAAGTTCAAGATTTAGAGTCGGGAACAATAAGGTAAATTTTTTGAATATATTTATGGCTTATATTTTATTAAAGTTAGATAGGCCTTCATAAGTTGTTAGGTTGAGTAATTTAATTGAAGTTTTTGGGATCTACAATGTATTAGTAATGAATGATATTTAAATGGCAAATGCAGCCTAAATCTTCATCGCTTAATAAACAAGCCGCAAATTAGGTTTGAGCTGGCTCAAACTCGTTTAACTAGAGCTCAAGTCGAGCTTTTAACGAGTCATAACCAAGTAGCTCAACTCGTTTACACCGGTGGCGAGGCTATGTGTCTCAAAGGTGGGTCACTTAACCATCTATATTTTTTTATTATAAAAAGTTAAATAGAAATAAAATTGTGAACCACCTTAAATATTTTAAGCGAACCAATGAATATTTTTTACTAAAACAAATGTATAACTAAAGATTTTCAAAGTCCATATTTTATATTTTAATAGTCAAAATAACTAATTCATTTAATGTGTAATCCAATATGAAATAACCTTAAATTTAAATAAAAATAAAATCGTTTGTCAATTAGAAGACGTCATTTTATTATCCAAGACTCTGGTTCCCGCTTTACACCTTCATAAATGGTTGATCATCGACATTTGTTGCCATCGTTGATGGTCTCTCCATCGCCACAGCCGACAGCGGCTCCGGTCTCCGACAATCTTTCTTTCTCGGTGCCAATTTTTTTTTTCAACCTATAACTCAATGATTAGAGATAAAAGGTTCACTGTGTCATTGTGTGTATGGGATTTTTACTATTGTTATTATCATTCCTTATGAGCGGTTCACACGTTAGTAACATGTAAGAACTATAAATCTTTTTGTGAAAATATATCAATAGCATACAAACGATTATTTTTGTGAAAATATATCAAGATATAAAACCTTGTCGGATACAATTCTAAGAACTATAAATCTTTTTTTTTCCTTTTACGATGTGACCCAAATCTAGACTTGCAACTAATTTTTTTTTTTTCGGTTTCACTTAAATAGTGAACCATATGATTTTAAGTTCTAGATTCGCCACTGGTTTACACCCATACTCTTAACCCACATAAGTGTTAGGTTTTGCATGTAATATTCTTAACCCACAAAAGTGTTAAGTTTTGCATGTAGATCATAAATTAAAGATAACTTCTAGGGATGGAGTAGTGAATTTAATAATCCTATATTTTCAACACCATTCACCGTTTTTATAAGAGCAAAATGCAAAATTGGTCCTTATAGTTAGCCTAAAACTATGGATGGGATCTAAAAACTTTTCAACTTGCACCATTAGTCCAAAATGAGATCTTTTTATTGATCTGGTCCTATGAAATGACTATATGTCCTTTTTTTTCTTTTTTTTTTTTAATTTTTAATATTTATGTTAGTTTTATATTGTTATGGGTATAAATTCTCACTAAAATCTTGTGCAGGATTTGGGACAACAAGCTAGATAAGATCTTGACGAACATCTTGATCAAGATACTAAAGATTACTAACATTCATGCTTTCTCTTTATTTATCTATTTCTTTGATTCATGTCTTGATATGTCAACAAATACCCTGTCAAATTGGAATTGCCACAAGGAACATGAAGAGAAGACTCGATCATCAAGATTTTGGGGGTAAAGGAAGAATAATCATCGAGAATATTAGAGTAGAAGATAATGTCGAGATTATAGGGATTTTTCTTATAGATGTTAGGACTCTCATGTATAAATTAGTAGTTAGAGTTTCAAATGCACACACACATGAACACTCTTTTTTCTATTGTGAACTAGCTAGGATATTGTCATCAACTTGTACTTTTCGACTAATCAATAACACCATCAAAGGAAACCTAGCTATTTCCAGGTCCCAAGGTTTTATGTCGAAGATCTTACGGTTTTCCTTATAATTTTTGTGTCTTGTACCTTTATTTCTTGCACTATATTTTGATTACAACACCACAACCTTTACTATTTTAGTTGATATTCACTTAGCATATTTTTGACCAAAACAACATGTCAACAACTGTAGGTCGTGGTGCTACCATTTCATATAATTCTAATTATTCGGTTTATCTCTCAAATTATGTATATTGTGCCCATCACATTTTCAACCTCTATATATTCACAAGTATCTCGAATGCCTCTTGTATCTTCATTCACTTCTACCGGGAATAATGTTAGACATTCTTATAGAGGAACTCCTCAAGCAGCCCATGTCGCTCCAACAACTTATTATTCTCTAACTTCTTAATTTTCTTTAAAGTTTTGTCACATTTGATCCCTATACTTATGTCTGTTATATAAGTATGTATCTCACTTTAATTCGAAAAATATATGTAACGTCCCAAAGATATGAAGTAAACTTTTCATTTAAAAAAAACACCCAAATCATTAATTCATTGTTTAAAATAACAAAAGTATATCATGTTCTCAAACATCAGAGTAAATCACAAAAGGTAGTGTGGAATAAAACTCTAGGGTATGCAGTGCGATCAAGTTTGGTCATTCCTTTTAGAACTGGAAGTACCTGAAACATTAAAAACATAAAACACGTATTGTTTCAGCCATCGGGCCTATTTCATTCCAAGTGAAAGCTATGTAAACAGATTAGATAAAAGGTTTTGAATATAGGATATATCATGTTGTATAGATAGATCCTAATTATAAGGGATAATTGTTATCTTGTAATCATATTCGTATATATATTCAATCAATCCCATTGGGATCTTCTACACCAAATTCTCTGTTTCACTTGGTATCAGAGCAAAGATCTCACGCTCCAAACAAAACCTACCTTCCATCTCCGGTTCTTTGGTCTTCCTCGCCAAAGGATACTTCTACAATGTCTGCTCCTGTAAAATCTTCCACCATTGCCACTGATGTTTCATATAAGTTAACTCACACTAATTTCTTACTATGGAAAGCTCAAGTTGTTCCTATATTACGAGGTGTTCATCCCTTTGTACATCTTAATGGAACCATACCTGCTCCTCTGGAAAAGGTAACTACAGGAACCGGTGATGCTGCCAGGGAATCGTCAAACCTAGACTATGATACATGGGCTATTCAAGATCAGGTTGTGGTTGGAAGCCTGCTTTCCTCAATGACAGAAGAGGTTCTCCCTCAACTCATCCGCTACACTAATACTACAAAGGAATTGTGGCCAACCCTCCACACCATGTTTTCTGCACAACATCGAGGAAACTCTATTCAGATTCGTACTCAACTATCCACAACAAGGAAAGGAGACATGAGTGCAAACGAGTATAATCAGAAGATTACAGGTTTCACCGACACCATGGAAAACATTGGTCAACCTATGGGTGATGAAGAAGTGATTGGTTACATACTAACTGCTCTAAGCAATGAGCAGAAGGTAACTCTTCCAGAGTTCTACTCTTATTTAATTTCACATGAAGCACAAGCAACCTCTATGAACACTACAGTGGAGTATACTTCATCAACCAACAATGTCACTAAGCATGAACCTAATGCCCCTTGTCACAACAATAATAATGGGCATAATAACTCCAATCAGCGAAATAACTATCGTGGTGGCAGTGGCCGCAGACGTGGCAGAAATAATGACGGCCTGTGATGTCAGGTATGTAGCATACCAGGTCACACTACATTAAATTGTCATAACATGTACATGTTGGGTTTTGAGCAATCTAACACTTCCTAAGTGTGCATGCAACCCTAATAAACCTTGGATCTATGTTTGTCTAAATACATGCAAAATAATAATTTTCCAAGGTTTATAACCTATCTAACATGGCATGGGGAACATTTCAACATAAAAGAGTTAGAAGAGATTACATACCTTTTGGTGAGTTTGGTTCTAAGGAGTTTGAGGGCCAAGCACCAATAGTGTGAATGCCTCAAATGGAATCACAAACACCACAAACTCTTGGAAAACTTTGAGAGAGTATACACCTTGTATAAAATCGGCCACACACATGCACACACACACACACTAGTTCACTAGTT